GTTAATCATCTTTATTTGGAATTAACTTGGAAAGTAAATGGCACAAGTAATAAATTTTGGGGTGATAAAAAAAATACAGATTGAAAAAAACCCTCTCATCTTCTCCCACTCATACTGCAAATTCATTTTTTTTCAAAATTATTTCATGTTCTGAATGTCACTGAGAAATTTAGTAGATCACTGAGCTAGCTGCATCCCAGAAGTAGGTTCCCAAATGTAATTTAATTTGAAGAGTAGCAACCAATTTACCGTATGGGACTACCAGATATAATCAATGCATACAAAGTTTGAAGAAGACATTATTGCATGTGTTGAAGCACAGTTTTATGAGGACTGGAAGCTACTATTCATGCAAGAGAAATCACTAATATTTTATGAAGTTAGGACATCAATAGAATATTCAAGTGTTAGAAGGTTAACGTACAAAGAGTAAGTCTGTTGAAAAATAACACTATTAGTAAGTCCCTGGGTTACAGGAGAACTCCTACTTGCCCTTTAATGTTATATAAATTTGCCCTCAATAAAATGACTGAACCAACCCCTATTTGCAACAAATTCTTCATCGTAACACTTTCACTTGCTGCACATGTAGCTTTTAAATCAGAGAAAAGGCTTCAAGTGAGGCTAAGTAAGAACCATATGCACCTGTTCTGACTTACCTACAAATTCAATTTAAAGACTTACTTAGACTTAAAGGCACACTTAGGAACCAGTATCTCACTGGTAACTCAGGGACTTTGCTACATGTATATAAAGATATAAATCAGATAATAAAGGTATCACTTACCATTACCCTACTCCATACACCAATCAAATCTTTAAGGCTAATGTCGTTTAAAGTTTTATACAATTTATGAGATAATTAGGAAACTGCTACAATTTTGTTTTATTAACAAAGAATCTAGGAAGATTCATCAGCCATTAAACAGAGGCCTGGAGTTGTCCACTGGGTAACGCAAACAGTTAATGTGCTTCCTGCTAACCACAAGATGCCTCAGAAAAAAGGCATGGTAACCAACTTCCAAAAAGAAAAAAGCCATTGAAAAACCTGTGGAGGAGAGTTCTGACACACATGGTGGCACCATAAGTTGGAGTTCAGTCCTCTGGTGGCATAGTGCCTAAGGCATCTGACTACTAACTAGAAGGCTGGTGGTTCAAACCCACCAACCACTCCTCAGAAGGAAGGTTGGGCAATCTACTTTTGCAGTGATACCACCTTGGAAACCCAAGGAGAGGTCGCTATGAGTCAAGTCCAACTTCACGCAGTGAGTTTGGGTTTTTTTGAGGGGATGGGGATAGGACCATGAATAATTTAACAAACTGGAACTGCCATCACTGAACTTTCAGGTTATTATTTGGATTCTTCAACCCTCAAAGATCTTGCAATCCAGTAACTAGTCTTGTGTTGCAAGGGAAAAGCTTACAGCAGTGACTGATTCCCAGTGCATTAAGTGCATTATTCAATGTCTATAGGCAGGTTCGGATGGAAACATCACATCTGAGTAAAGCATTTAACAGGCACTGAATGGTTTCGTCTCCAGGTCAGGTGGAAGAGGTTCTTGCACAAGCAAGGTTCATCTGCACTAACTGTGCATCAGGAGCAGCTGCTGTGCTAGTACTAACTCATTGTCAAAAGCAGATTCATATATTTAATTTCCCACCAAAATAATGGCTCTCCAAAGCTAAAGATCTAAGACTAACAACACTGCAGAAAATTATCATTTGATCCTGTTCTCCCTGAACTTGGCTACACTGTTATTTGCAGGACTGTGTTTATTAATGAATTTTAAATGTTAATGTCTTCAATACCTATGATTTGAACTCAGTTGGGCCTACGGCATTTGACTGCTAACCAGGAGGTTGGCAATTCAAAGCCACCAGTTGCTCTGCAGAAGGAAGATGTTGTTGTTATTTGCCGTCGAGTCGACCCCGACTCACAGCGACACCTCCTTAGGTTTCCAAGGCAGTATCACTACGGAAGTAGGATTGCCCAACCTTCCTTCCGAGGAGTGGCTGGTGGGTTTGAACCGCCAGCCTTCTGGTTAGCAGTCAGGTGCCTTAGGCACTATGCTACCAGAGTTCCCATGGAGTAATCTATCTCTGGTAGCATAGTGGCTAAGTCACTTGACTGCTAACCAGAAGGCTGGCGGTTCAAACCCACCAGCCACTCCTCGGAAGGAAGGTTGGGCAATCCTACTTCCGTAGTGATACTGCCTCGGAAACCCAAGGAGGGGTCGCTATGAGTCGGGGCCGACTCGACGGCACATAACAACAACAACAACAACAATCTATCTCCCAGAAAGATTTGTTGTTGTTGTTGTTATGTGCCCTCAAGTTGGACCCGACTCATAGCGACCCTTCTTGGGTTTCTGAGGCAGTATCACTATGGAAGTAGATTGCCCCATCTTCCTTCCTTCCAAGGAGTGGTTGACGGGTTTGAACTGCCAGCCTTCTGGTTAGCGGTCAAATGCCTTAAGCACTATACTACCAGAGCTCCCCTTGGAATCCCAATGGGGGTTGCAATGAGCTTGAATCCATCGATGGCAGTGAGTTTGGTATTTTCTGGTTTGGTTTCTTAGACTAATGTGAACACATGCGAAACTATGTAATCTTTGGCCAAATATATTCAGAAGAGATATTCCACTTAACCAATAGACAATATATATACCATATTCTTTGGTATAGGTAAGAATCACCTGTGAATATGTAAGAATCACCTGGGTATCTTGTTAAAATATAGATTCTGATTCAGAATCTGGGGTGGAGATTCAAAGTCCTAGCAGGTGGTCAAACCAGAATGAACTGGTTTGAAGCCCTGGTTTATAGTGTTTATGTAAGTACACAATATTGCATTATCAGTAATAACAAACATTAATCTAAGGGTGGATACATACGTAGACAGGCTGAATGATCAGATATGGGTAGGCATAAAGGCATATATCCATGACCACATATAAATCTGACAGACAATATTTCTATATACATATTTGTATATACTATAAGAATGTCCACATACATAATAGAGCTAATAGGGGGCAAAGTTATGATAACTTCTTAGCTATAGCCAAATACCTTGTGGGAGTAAATCACTGGGCCCACGAACTAGGGACCATGGTCATGGGGAACATCAAGCTCAACTGGCATAACATAGTACATAAAAATACTGTTCCAAATCTTACTTTCGTGACTGGCAACTCAGGTCTAAAAAGCTTGCAAGTGGCCATCTAAGATGCAGCAACTGGTCTCTCCTCATCTAGAGCAAAGAAGAATGAAAAAAATCAAAGATGCAAGGAAACAGTGAACCATGCAAACCTCAGCCTATAGGACCCTGAGACCAGAAGAACTAGATAGTGCCTGGCTACCACTGTCAACCACTTGAAAAGCTATCAGAATAGGAGATCTTGGATAAAATGGGGGGAAAATATGGAAGAAAACTCAAAATTATAAAAAAAGACCAGGCTTACTGGTCTGACAGAGACTGGTGAAACCCCTGAGACTATGGCCCCTAGTCATTTCATATTTCAGTCTGGAATTAAACTTACTGCTGTGGTTTCCAGCTTACAAGGTGAACGTTTACACCAGATAGGTGGACTCCTTAGAACAATCAACCATGGGTGATCAGAAGGGCAGCATTTGCACAGGGAGATAGCTCAGAGGGCAGGAATGCATAGGAAAATTGGATACAGGGAAAAGGTAATCAGAGGGAAGAAGTGAGAAGAGAGTTGTTAATCATGAGGATTGCAGTCAATGTCATGAAACAAAATGTGTATGAACTGTTGAATGGGAAACAAATTTGCTCTGTAAACTTTCACACAAATCACAATAAACAGTTAATGTAACTAAAGAGTTTTTAAATATCTACTGATGGAAAACATTTAAACTAAATTTGTTGTTGTTGTTGTTATGTGCCGTCCAGTCAGCCCTGACTCCTAGCGACCCCTCCTTGGGTTTCCGAGGCAGTATCACTACAGAAGTAGGATTGCCCAACCTTCCTTCCGAGGAGTGGCTGGTGGGTTTGAACCGCCAGCCTTCTGGTTAGCAGTCAAGTGCCTTAGCCACTATACTACCAGAGCTCCCTTAAACTAAATTATTACTAAATTATTTCTTTAAAGTTTATTTGAAAGCAGGCAAGACTCACAGTTTGGAGCCAGGCTATAAGAACTGGGAACTCTCTGTTACAAGCTCATAGATTTCATCTAAGCCTGCATGCTAAGCCAGGGACAGAGTGCCATACTCAGGTTCCAAAGCCAAATAGGCACATTTTCTCTTGACATTAGCTATCCAGCTGTCATCAAGCTCTTCTCCTATTTGAACCACTGTGACTTTGGTAAGATCCAATTGATGGAACCACACACAGGAACTGATAAGGTCAGCCAGCTGGACAGCAGAGCTGTACTGGCAGCAAGAGTAAATTAAGTTTGCCAGTGAAGCTGAATTTAAGTAAAACCTAAAATAACCCCCAAAGCAAAGCTAATGTGAAGAAAACAGTATTTAATTTTTTTTTTTAATTTTTTATTGTGATTTGGGTGAAAGTTTACAGAGTAAATTCATTTTCCATATGACAATTTATATACATCTTGGCTTATGGCATTGATTGCAATACCCACAAGGCAACAGCCCTCTTCCCGCTTCTTCCCTGTGGCCACCTTTTCCTGTGTCCTTCTTTTCCATGCATTCCTGCCCTCTGATCCTCCTTGGGCAAACACTGCCCTTCTGGTCTCCCATAGTTGATGGTTCTAAGGCGTGTACTTACCTGGTGTAAATGTGCACCTTGTAGCCTATTGTTTGGCTGAAAGGCACAGGCATGAGTTCAAGTCCAGGCACAAGGGGTGACTTGGGGCCAAAATGAGTAGGGTTTCACCAGTCTCTATCAAACCAGTAAACCTCTTTTCTTCCCCCCCCCCCCCCAATAATTTTGAGTTTTAGTCCACGTTTTTCTCCCACTCTATCCAAGATTTCCTATTTTAATCCCTTTCCAAGTGGTTGACAGTGATAGGCACCATCCAGTTCTTCTGGTTTCAGGGACACGTAGGCTGAGGTTCCTATGGTCCACTAGTCCCCTTGGACTAATTATTTCCATGAGTCTTTGGTTTTCTTAATTCTTATTTGCTCTGGATGAGGAAAGACCAATCGCTGCATCTTAGATGACCACTTGCAAGCTTTATAGATCACAGTAGCTACTGACTGGAGCTCTGGTAGCATACTACCTAAGGCACTTGACTGCTAACCAGAAGACTGGCAGTTCAAACCCACCAGCCACTCCTCAGAAGGAAGGTTGGGCAATCTACTTTTGTAGTGATACTGCCTTGGAAATCCAAGGAGGGGTCGCTATGAGTCAGGTCCAACTTGAAGGCACATAACAACAATAGCTACTGACCAAATTAGGATGTAGAGCAATGTTTTTGTGGAGTATATTATGCCAGTTGAGCTTGATGTCCTCTGCAACCAAAGTCCAAAGCCCACGGACCAAATAACTCGCTCCATCAGGATGGGTGGCTATGGCAAAGAAGCTATCGTAACTTTAGCTCTATTACATATATGGACATTCTTATAGCATACACAAATACACATGTAGAAATATCATCTGCCAAACTTATATATGGTCCTGGGCATATTCCTTTTTGCCTAGGCATACCTCATTATTCAGCCTCTCTACCTATGTAACCACCTGTAGATTGTTTGTAATTACTGATAATGCTGTATTGTGTATGTTCAAGTGTATATCCCTATTCTGTATGCCTCTTGTGCACCTCTCTGTATCTAACTTTTCCCTAGTTTTGCTGTACTTGTCACTTGCTTTTGGTATATTGCCTTTCCCTCCACCCAAATCAATACTTGTCTCTTATCTATTTAGCACTTTTCCCTCTCCTCCTCTCCCCTCCCATCCCTGGTAACCAAAAAAGTTCCCGTCCATATGCAAACCTTCCCTTGACTTCTTACAACAGTGGACTAATACAATATTTGTTCTTCTGTGATTGACTTATTTCACTCAGCGTAATGTCCTCCAAGTTTATCCAAATTACAATGTTTCACAGATTCTACGGTATTCTGTAGTGTAGCATAGTATTCCATTGTGCGTGTGTACCATAGTTTGGTTATCCATTCCTACAGTGATGAGCACTCATGGTGTACCAGTTGCTAGGACTAATTGTTTCCATGAATCTTTTGTTTTCTTCATTCTTCTTCATTCTGGACAAGGAGAGACCCATTGTTACATCTAGATGGCTGCTTGCAATCTTTTAAGATCCTAGTCACTACTCACCAAAGTAGGAAGTGGAACAGTGTTTTGTGTAGTATGTTATGCCAATTGAGCTTGATGTTCCCTGTGACTATGGTCCCAAGCCCACAGGTTCAAATACTCGGTCCATGTGGGTAGCTGCTGTGACCAAGAAGTGACTACAACCTTGTCCCTTGTGAACTATACTAAACACCTGGTAATGCAGATCATACAAATATACTTATAGGACCATTGTCTGCCAACCCTATACATGGTCTGGGGTACACTCCCCACTTCATAGACACAAGTAAAAGTTCAGCCTGTCCACCCTTCTATCCACCCGAATACCCATGTTTGCCTTCACTGACAATGCAGTACTGTATATGCAGAAGGGTTCCTCTTTGTTGCCTGTACCTCTCATGTACCTCTCTCTGTCTTCCTCTTCCTCAACAGCACCATTTTGATCACTCACATATGGTACATTGCCTTCTCTTTACCCAAATACTTATCTTGCCGTATCAAACAGTGTTCGCTACCCTCCCCTCCTACCCCTGGTAACCAGCAAAAAAAATTTCCTTCCATAGATAAACCTTTCCTTGACTTTTACAAGAATGAACTAGTACAATATTTTTCTTTCTGAGATTGACTTATTTTACTCAGCATAATGTCCTTCAAGTTCATCCACATTATGCAGTTTTGGAGATTCTAGGTTATTCTTTAGGGTTGCATAGTATTCCACTGTGTGTATGTACTACAGTTTGGTTATCCATTCCTCAGCTGATGGACACAAGAGTGTTTCCATTTTTCGGTTATTGTAAATAGTGCTGTGATGAACATGGGTGTGCATATGTCTTTTCTTGTCATGGCTCTCACTTCTTTAGGATATATACCTAGTAATGGAATGGCTGAGTCAAATGGTATTTCTAATTCCAACTTTTTAAGGAATTGCCATACTGCTTTCCACAGTGGTTGTACCATTTTACAGTCACACCAGCAGTGTGTTGTTGTTGTTGTTATGTACCATCGAGTCGGACCTGACTCACAGTGATCCTTCATTGGGTTTCCAAGGCAGTATTATCCGAGGAAGGTTGGGCAATCTACTTCTGTAGTGTATGAGAGTCCAAATCTCTCCACATCCTTGTGAGGATTTGTTATTTTGTTTCTTGTTGAACTTTGTTACTAGTGCTGGAGCAAGATGGTATTTCATTGTTTTTTGTGATTTGCATCTCTCTAATGGCTAATGATCGTGAGCATTTCTTCATGTTTGATGACAACCTGAATATCCTCCTTGGTGAAGTGTCTATACATGTCTTCTGCCCATTTTTTAACTGGAATGTTTGTCTTTTTGTTATTGAGGTGTTGGAGTTTTCTATAAATTCTAGAGGTAAGTCCCTTGTCAGATATGTTATTGCCAAGTATTTTTCCCAATCTGTAGGTTCTCTTTTGAATGTTTTGAAACAGTCTTTGGAAGCATATAAAATTTATATTTTTAGAAGATCCCATTAATCTAGTTTAACTTCTGCCGTTTGTGTGTTTTTCGATTATGCTTAATAGTCTATATATGCCATATATTGTTGTTGTTGTTTGGTGCCGTCGAGTCGTTCCCGACTCATAGTGACCCCATGCACAGCATAACGAAATACTGCCTGATCTCATGCCAGCTCCATGATCCCTGCTATACTTGAGCCCATCATTGCAGCCACTGTGTCAGTCCATCTCATTGAAGGCCTCCCCCTCTTTCACTGACCCTCCACCCTACCAAGCATGACGTCCTTCTCCAGGGAATGGTCCCTTCTGACAACATGAACAAAATAG